TTATTCAAAAAAAAGCACTCACAACTTCGTGAGCATATAAATTCCGTGTAGGATGCAATGAATCAAAACCACAGATGGACATTTTCTGCGATTCAATTTTCGACATTACAAAAAATACCGGCCAATCACTATTACTACCAACTCGGCATACTAGTTGTTTGCTCCCATCAATAATGTTAACAAAATTATGGTGCATCTAAAATCCAGACTGCTCCATATCTACTAAACGAAGACTATGTTTTGCATAGTAAAGTTCCAACCAAAACATTAATTTTTAAAAACGAAATTCAGCTAAATATTTTTTGGGGAAAAGCTAGAAAATTCCAGTTTTGATATGAAGCACAAGTGTGATTTCAAAGATATTCAAAAAGTAACCTGGTATTTAGGCAGTGAAGGTGGGTCACAATCTAGACACAAAGGCTGTTCAAGTAATAAAGGCTGAAATTTATATTCGATAAAATTAATTTATTTTCATATAATTATTTTGGTAAATTTGAAATAATTTTTCAAAATTAATAAATTTTGTTGTCCTATTACATTTCTTGTTGTTCATAATTACTTCGATATTTAACTGATAGATTTCTGAATATATGCTATTTTTTTTCGTAATTACTACTACACCACAAACATCCCTTTCTTACAGAATCGCTTGTCTAGCAAATTACTGAATGAATAAGATTGGAAAAATAGCAATAAATTATACTAATTTAGATCGCTGGTATTCATTACTTTTCATTCTTTTGCAGTAATAATTTTAAATTAAGAAGCTTTACACTTTCACAATGGTTCTGAGAGTGTTTCAGTTCTAGCTGAGGAGTCTTTTCAGCAAAAACAGTAGGACCAAGTTTTAAAATCTTGCCCTCAGGTTGTCCCATGGAGTTGTTTTCAAAATCTGAAACAAAATTCACTAAATTAGAAGCGCTAAATTCAGTTCATTTTGTTTTTATCTGATTCTGATCTGAATGATTAACGCTTACTATCAGATGGATATTTCTTGCATTGGTTTTCGATAATAGTACGATAATCTTGGATTATTTGGTGTGGCGGTTCACCGTACTCCAACTTAGGATGATAGCTAGCCAGAAGTGAATCTAATAAAACTGCTATTTTAATGTTGCAATGCAAATTTAAATTTTACAAATAATTGTGACCTGAATACAATAAGTGATTCTTCAGTTATGAAAGCCTGAATAACGTATATTTCTTTTTTACAAAACTTCCACCAGTAAAAAAATAACTTAAATTATCTGCAATTATAAATTAAGCAAAAAAAACAGATGTAGCAGCCTTGAAATTCTGATAATATTGAGAGAGCAAAATCTTATGAATTAATCTGTACATGGATTGCAAGTTACTGAACCTGTTGTCGAGGTAACTGAGTCGGAAGCTCCAAATCGTGCTGAATGTTCTTTACTTTTTATATTAGAAAAAGTGGGTTGGCGAACTTCACCACATAACTTTATAGTATTTCCACCGTTACTGTCTGAAGAACTATCACTATGTAATAATATTGGTAGCACTTCAGCTTGTGCATTCTGCCAGTTTTTCGGAGAGGAATGCCAATTTTGTTTAGAATTATCCTGAAACATTTACGTAATGTTATAGAATTGAAAACATCTCGGATTCTATGGATATTTATCCATGAGCCAATCATAAAATGAAATTATACAGACTACAATGGAGCTTATTTAATTCAACGTTATTAAACCTCTAATATTTTGCAAAATCAATATCTCTAAGTGTTCAGTACAGTAAACTGAATAATTTATTACTCGAAAATACTTTGATGATTGGATAGGAGATTTCTTATCTGGATGTAGACATGGTAGAGAACTATCAGGCTCATAAGATAACGATGAGCAATTCGATAAAGCCCTGAAATATAAATATTTATATTATTTCCAAATTTAAACAAAATTTATTTGGTTACATAAATGTAAAATCCATTTTCTTATAAAATTTAGCTTCCTTAATAAAAAATGTACAAAAAATTAAGCAAGTTTGTGATTAGTTAGAATCACAGATTAATGAGCCTAGACAAATGAAAGCAACTAAACTAGAAAACTTTTTCCATTTACCATAAATCTCCAAATATCTTTTTCGCTTGACACTGTATGAAAAGTTTATAAGGAAAAAATGTAAGCAAGAAAAGCAATGAGTAAAAATATTAGGGAGCAAAAATTTAATAAAATATTGTCGACGTAGTCTAAATCCTGCTAACAACAGTACAAATTTTTTTGCATAGAAAGACAAACATTGTTCGGTAATGGTATTGACTGCCTGGAGCTGCGAGAATTGTAGAATTTGACTCAGGCTGCGTTTGATGATAACATGGCCACTGCTGTTCTGATGGCTGGATTTCAAAAATTTGGTGCTGCTTAGGCTGCAGTCTCTGTCTGCTTGATAGACCACCATTATTTCTGTGTTCCATTCCAAACTGACCATTGCCATTAGCAAATTTTGGAACACCATAATAACTACTCCCTTGCGGCTGTAAATAAAGAGTCTTCATAAAAAAGAAACATTTCTACAGCTTATAATAAGTGCAGTGTATGATTTCTGTTAATGTATGGAATTGAGAAGTGATCTGCAAAAAATGTCATATATTGGTAGTATTTATATTATTTTCAAAGAAATACGATTTGTGTTTTTAACTTCCTTATTTAGATGTACAATAGACATAATCTGACATTCAGACACCCTTATTGAGTTACTCTCCAAATGTAGGACTAGTTACAATGATACTTTTGTGTTGCTTTCAAAACGTAGTGAAATTTAAGACCTCCAAAATAACACAAAATAATTTAAATTGTGTTCATTCATTGCCAGCGAACATTAATGATGTATTGTTCGCTATTCTAAAAGTTGATAACAAATTAAAATGTACCGCTTTCATGACATTTGGATTGCTGGAGCATACCATATCTAGCTTTGCTGATATATCCCAGAGTTGCATTTGCAGTGCAATCAAATGCAATTCTTGTTCTCTTCTCATGCTAAAAAAAACACTTATTTCAATTCCCACAACTACAATCAAAAATTCTTTTGTGATATAAATTTAATAATAAATTTTGAAAATGCAATCACTTCCTTCACCTGCTATCACCTATATTTATCTTGAATTTTTAGATAAAAAATAAATTAATGATTTTTAAGGAAACGAACTTTTGCACCATTCATTAAATCTGAAAGGTGCAATGCTTACAGCAAAAATAAACCCTTTGATTTGTAATACAGAAATTGACAAAATACCTTTGACTATCGAATTTCTCTTTCTCTCTTTCCAATGCTTCTTTTTGTTGACGTAATCGTTTTTCTTCTTCATACAGTTCCTTCTTCATTTTTTCAAAGTGTTTTGAGATATGGATATTTGAAATGATCTCATCGGCAGCGAAAAATAATTAAACATTGTTAATGAAATAAGTTTTAGTCAGTTGAATGAAGCAAAAAATGAAGAACGATTACGTTTTTGGTAAGACCTCATTAATATAAAGAAGTGTTCAATAATTTACTCAAAAATTTCCTTTTTGTGATCTTAGCTATATTTTAGTTTGAACCTTTGAATTGTGCTCGAACATGATTGTCCGCATTTTCGTTTATGACTTTAATATCTTTAAATTTTCGTTTCTTATAATACAAAACAAAATCTGTATCCTTTAATATCACTTTCGCCCAATACAAATCAGGTGCGCATTTCGACGTCAAACAGACATTGTAATCATTTTCATCGAGCAACTTAAAAAATAATGCCTATTCCAAACACAGTTTATAAAAAGAAATAAAATCAAGTTATATTTGTAATTTTAATCAAACTACAGATATCAGGAATCGAATAAACGCTCTATTTGTTACGAATATTTTTATTCCAAAGAATTTAAAGCTTGTATCATGCGAATTACGATATGATGAATAATATACACTCTCTTACTGCTATCTTTTTATAGTTATTATCGCCTTTTGAAGATGAAACTCCTTTTATACGACACTTTAATGATGCAGCAGGTATTTCAAGAACTTCAATGGGCTGAAACTAATAATTACTTAATGAATTCTTTTTTTTGACAACAAAAATGATATCAAGTAAATAATGTAAATCAATATTAGATTTCATAACGTAAAATCAACCGACAAAGAACTGCATTAGATTTCCTCGATATTTTTTATCACTGACAATATATGAATAATTCAAAATCAGTCTTATTTCCAGATATTTCTATTTTTATGACAAATACATGTAATTTCTTTGATAAATTAACTTCAATTAAAAAGAATATCATGAGAATATAGCCATCTGATAATCAAATAATTTGCTAGCCTGATCTCGGAGATCAAACAAATCCAGTACACTGCACAATGCAGTTTGACCGAAATCAATGAGAATTACTTCACACGTGTTATCATCCAACCGATAATGGCTTGCTATCACTCTAAATAAACATAATAGAAGCAACTGTGAAAAATATGATAAACTGATTTTTTTAAAATGATTACTTTACTCATTAATCCCACTTCATATACGGAAGAGTACTATTAAGAAGAATGAGTTAATATGAGCAAATAATTTAGTATTCTCGCATTTTAACTCAAAAGTGCTGAATTAAATTGTTGTTATCAACCTGTACAACTGAGGCTGAAACGCTGAGAAATTCGATTTCGCTGGACGAATCAAACGAGCTATGCAACAGATACTCCGATCAAAACAAGATCGCGGAATAGGATTTTTTGGTGTTACCATGTACTGACAACAACAGTCCATTAAGCATATATAGATAATAAACTTGTAACTAATTTTTTTGAATATCATTCTTTCTTGCATTTTCAGCAGTTGAATAAAAAAAAATCTTTATCAAGCTTCTTTATTACCATTTTATAGTGAAAGGTGCCAACAAAAATAGAATGTTCTTCGTTATTTCGAACTGTGATACAATCTCATTTTTTAAAATCTAGTTCCTGTATAAGTCTCACTAAAGTCATAAGAAAAACAAGTTGTAGAATCAACTTTAACTCAAAATATATTTACTGCAGATAAATGCTAGCATAAATGAAAAATTAAAAAAATAAACCTTTTCTAGATCACTGAGAACTGCAGGATCACGCATTATATAATTATCAATATCAATACGCTCTGTCACTCTTGCTATTAGATGTGATGGCAACGAGACATTAAACTTTTTAAACATGAAGGTTAATGCCGGATCTCTAGATATTGCTGGTACTGATGCACTTTTTACCACTAGAGTTCTACATCGATGACGCGATAATTTATTAAGGGTGTGAGTACTCTGTATTGAAAAATAACTTATCTAGTTAAAGAGTTTAGAAATCAAATTTGATCAAAGAAATGTTGCAGTATACTTCAGTGAATGATCAAAAACGCAAAAATGGCACAATATTATTTGTTACACGCAGCAATAAGGTGGATTCCTAAAGTTTTAAGCATGGCATTAAGAAATATTTGAGTAATAATGGCGTATACTAAAAGATCGGTATATTGAGAGTATTTTCAATCTAAATTCTGTCAAAGTGATGTTGAGGTAATGTAAGTTAGGAAAGGACATTATAGAAGTGAAATATATACAAAATGTAGTTATTTCCGTGAAAGCAAGGAATAACACTTGATCCCAATTTGGGATCTAAAAAACGCTATCAAAAAATACATGCAAGTTTTTAAAAAATTTGCTGTCTTTTGCTGCATTTATTGTTATTAATGCAATTAGATTCCAAAAGTTCGACTTTTCTAGCCTGTTCTAATAATTTTCATTAAATTATCAGAATTTATTTCGCAATTCTTTTCTTCGATAAATTGTTTAGGAATATGTGTTTAAGCATATATTATACAGTATTGATCGTAGAGGATTTTGAAGCAAAATAAAATCATAACATTAAACATTTGGGACTTATTCAGTCGAAAAACGAAATTATTTTTTTGTGAAATTAAAACGCTAGAGATGCAAAATATTGTTTCTCATTTCAAACAAGTTTGGAAAAACATGAACTAGATTAGAAGTTGCGAAAATATTCCAAGAACAGGACTTTCAACAAACCTTTGTACGAGAAACCGATTTATTAACCACTGATGTACATGTAGTACTGGAAGCATTATTAAACAAGAATCCTAAGTCATTAGTTTCCGAAATGCTGCGACCGATCTAAAAAATTACACTTAATTCATAATTTATGCAATAGTCGTACGGCAATGCAATAATACTAGAGAAAAATTTGGCAATTATAATTTAATAAAGCATGTTTTAATTAATAACAAAATTTCCATTGCGCTATTAAGTCAAATTTAAAAATCAACGATTTTCAAGAAAAACTGTCTTACTTTCGAAGTACATGAAATTTCGACAAAATTTCCATCTCTATTTTTATTATAAATAAGGGAGATAATAGCCGGAGGGTAAAGTACCCTGGCTCGCTGCGGGTAGTTTGAAGGGAATACATTGCCTAAAATGAAACTGAACCTATTGGACCTCAAGAGAATTACGACTACAAAATAACATGTCTTAAATCATTTTAAAAAGTCAAATATTAAATATGTTATAAATGTTAGGAATACGGTAATTTCAAAATCTGAAAAGACATACAGATTTTACAGATGCAAATCATCCCTTTTTCAAATGTTGCAAATTCATTGCATTTAGTAGTATTCATGCAAGACTTTAGAACTAGACGGAAGCAAAGTGGCGGTATATTATACAAAGACGGTAATAACTCCCATACATCATTTGCATCTACATCGTGAACTTCTCCCACATCAATACAGTACATCTAAATTTGAAAAATGAATCTATGAAGATTACAGTATGACGTTAAAAAAGAGGAAATTTTTGCAACTTCCTATTTTTTGAGCTCAGAGACAAGTGATTAATCAGTAAAAGTAAAGAAAAGCAACAGTTATTTTCTTAATATATATTCACATTTGGTAATCAGAAGTATTAGTGGTGCACCAAAATACACATAATTTTGTTAAATATAATTAGTTTGCAGGTAACAATCAAACATTGGAATAAAATTATTACTTAAAAAAACAATAAATAAAATACAAAATAAATCTGTTTAAAGGTTATATCGTATATTCTTCTTATAAACTGGTCAAGTATATGATGTGCACTGTTCTAGAACTTACCAAGAATGTTTTCGATTGCTGCTTCTTGAGCAGTACTGCTCTCAAGTAGTCATTCTCTGTTCTTATCATATATACTGTGCCTGCAATGCAAATAATTATTATTACGAACTATTTTTTGAAATATACATAATATCAAATGCAAAAATCACTAGGATACGAAGTTAGTCATAAAGAATATCAGGAAGATTTATGAACGTTGTCAAACTGCAAAACAGGATAAGTAATCAAAATATAGACTGATAGTTACTCATGTTAAGTGGATGCAAAACTGATTTCAAGGATTTTTGCGCCTCCTCTACCGCTGCTTTAGTAAGACGCATTTTCATCTCATTGTACCGACCTTCGTCACATACCCTTCTTACATATAAACATTTTATTTCTTGATCAACTCGTAGGAGATTAACTTCAAAGCAGTTATCAACTGACAATAGTAATCTAGCTGGAACAACGCATGTACTGGCCATCAAACAAACTGCAATTTAAAAATTTTCAATTAGATTTTTCTTAAAAAAGACTTTGAAAGAAATAGTTTTGGAAAAAAGTTTTCAACACTTAATGTACTAAAAAATAAAATTATTTACTCTTTCTTACGAAATAGCAAAACTGATAGTGTTTGACGAAAGAAGTACATTTTTTTCATTGTCAAAAATTTACATAGTTCACGCTGACCTGGTGCCCTGTACATTACAAGAGGTACTGATATAATCATACTATTAAACATAAAAGACAATTAAAGGAATCCATCCCGAAAGTTCAAAAGTATGGAGAGCAAACTTGATGAGCCATCATGTCGTATCCAAAGAGCTCGACCATCAGGTGGAGCAGCAACAAGAGGTTTATCATTCGAGCACATTTCGTGATTCAATCCAGAAACGAATGAACTCATGAGTAAACGAATCTTATGAATGTCAGATGTTTTCAAACAGCCTGAAGCATATAGACATTTTGATACGACAAATTGGTAATCTACAAACAACCGACTGCATAATAACTGCAACTACATGAAATGACTTATTATATATTATAATATGAGTTACAGGACGAAACTGAATAAAACCAGTATGCATTCTAAACATTACGTATTGTTCACGTATTTGACAAAAAAAGTATCGGATTCTTAAGTTCAAACTTTTTCGTATTCTTTAAACTAGCGAATCTTACAATTTTTTATTAGAAATCAAAATGAACAGATAGAATATTATGAAACCTAGTATCCTCGTGTACTTCCTAGAGGTACTTACTTTAGACCAGACTAAATTTCTCAGTTTTACCTACCTAAACAGAACCAACCTACCATCAAATTTACAGCTGTATGTCTACACCAACCGGATGATTTGCTAGCAGGTAGTCGAATGCACTATTTACGTGCATTTTGTTAAATATTTCATTTCACAGTGCAATACCATACACATATAGTCAAGAAAAGCCTTTTTTTTCTTTTACTACAATTCGATCAATATTTTTCCCGTAAATGCAAGTTTCAGCGTACGTATACTTTAACCATTTACTTAAATATCTCTGTCATATGCTAATACAACCGTAGTTTAGTCATTACTAATCAATACATTTCACGTAAACTCAAATAAAATTCACGTTAGAGATTTAAACAATCCGCCAAGAGATGAAGCAAATTATAGAAAGTCAAACAAGTGGATATTGTAGAATACGATAAAAATGCATAGTTTGCAGACAATAATATTTCTAATCAGAATCTTTGATTATTCAATCTCAGAAATAATGTAAGTTTTATCAAGGTAACTACATACAAAGGAGTTCCGTTTGAAAATTCAGTTTTTATAGTATTCAAAAAATTTTATAACTATTGAAATAAGCTTTGACCTTTGAAATCTTTCCATCTTCTATATTCCGCTCGACACATTTTGTATACCATGTCTTACTATGCCAACTTTTTTTTTTGACTTTACCAACGTTTCAGTTGCAATGGATACAAATAGCATATATCCATTTTGATTTTCAATATATTGACTTTCAATTTTGTGATTAATCAGTAATCTTAGCCCTCACGCTCATCTGAACCATAACCTGCACATGACAGTTGGGCTGAGGTTAATGCTTTATTACTTCTCGCTAGTGTACGATTTGAATTGCCGCACTGAACGAATATTAGGCGGAAAACACGATTACTTGCTTTTCATAAGAACAATGAACTTTACTTTCAGATTAAACTCATGTAATAAAATGAACTACATCATGACCAAATCTCAAATAAAGTAGTTTATTCAACTCAACAATACATACAAACATGACCTGTATAACAATGACACGAACTTATTAAGTAGTAGTTATTCGTGAAACTATCCGATATCACAATCATTCAATCCAGAGACAAGCAGGAAGGTATTTCGTAAATCGTTTACGAGGAAGGTAATTCGTAAATCTTGCATATCATCAGAAAACTACAGATACGGAATCCACAGCTCTCACTGTTTTGTATCCATAACTTTTATAAGGCTTCACTGGATCAAAACAAAGTACACATAAGCACTTTGTATTGCGCAATAACAAAACAAAAGTTAAATCATAAACAAACTGTTATTCATTCAGCACAACATTATCAGGCAGATGCCGCAAGTGCAAACCACTGCCTGACAGCATCAGCAATTGTAACAGGTAACATTGCAATATGTCTAACAACCACATAAAACGGAAACGGAAATTTATTAAGGTATGGAACAAGATTCACACCTCCACCAGGTGTAAATTCAGCTACTTTCATATCTGCAATTGATTCCTCACCACTATCGATGGCTACAAAAAGTACTGTAATTTCATCAGCGTGAAGTTCTGCCACAGCCTGCAGAAGTACATAAATTCAATCAACTGTTACTCACACTCATTATATGACAGGAAAATTTATATTCTTTTTATTCAACACCGCATAAATAAGAAAAAAAATAGCTCCTGAAATTTCACGATAGCTGAAAATTTCTTATTGGAAACTAAGAAATGTTTTACAGAAACTAACTTTTTTAATCGCTTCCGCACCACCTGCTAAAACCCCTCTTCCATCTGACACAATAATTAACATCTGATTGTTTCTTTCGCGGCCTCTGTTCTCTTCAAATATCTGAAGAAAAAATGTGTTGATATGTATTTGCAAATTAGAAATGAATAAGGAAAAATTTCTAAAACCATATTTATCCTTGAAATTTTCAAAAAATACTAACCATTTTACTTTGTCTAAGCAGAAGAACTAAATCAGTTCGATTTTGATCAAAGTTCAATTCATTTATCAAGGCTCCACCAATTGAAATACTGTCATAATTCGAGAAGCTTGAAATCAGTTTTGTAGAAGCACCAAATTTGCATATACCTAATTGCCCGATTTCACATTTTCTAAGACCACATTCTATCAGTGCAACACTCTGACATGCTTTCTATAAACATGCTCTAAAGTCTACCAAGTTATAAATAAAGATATTTTGTGAGGTTTATATTCATTTTATTCAGTTACCATTTAAAATGGTTTCTTCTACATATAGTCATTTTATTATTGATAATCACAGTCCTTACAAAAATGAATATTTCATTGTTTTTTTCATATACCTATATGTATGCAATACGTGAGAAGAACAATCAAACACGTGTATAGTTTGTAAAGAATAATATACATACCAATTTAATATGGCTATCATTCATAGATGCCGAATCATCTACAGCTATTAAAATTTGATAATTATGCCGAGCTTTCTTCGTACGACGTAACCAAATTTGATCCTTTCTATATCCACTAGCAATATAAGGAATTAATCGACGCATATTAAGCCTTTTCCCGGTTCGATAATCACCTCTGAATGAAAACGGTATACTGCATAATTGGAAAAATATGTATAAATGGTACATCAAAATTAAACTGAAAAGATCTTTTTCACTGGCTCAACAATTACAACATTTACTGAACATGATGATCACATGAAGAACAAATACTTACTCGAATTTCGATGACACTGTTGGTTCAATAATCGTTCGAAGACTTTCTGAAAGTTCAGCAGCTAAAACCGAAACTGAATCAGAAATTTTATTCCATCGTTCTTCTGCATCGGTGCTTGAAGACATTACCTCTTCCAAATCCACTGAGGTAATGCCACAACTTGATGGTTCCATCTGCTACAATAAACGGAAAGTTTACAGCATTTGAACAAGGGACAGTTAAACAAATTTAATTCAAAAAGTCAGTTAAAAAAGTATGACATAAAAGTTTAAAAAGTCGAAAACTTTTTTCGAAAAGCAAAAGTGATCAGCAGTTAAAAGGAGATAATTTTCATTTATGAATGCATATCATTTACCAAATGATAGAAGTCTGCTGACATGTGAATAACAGAGTTTCGGATATCTGATCTAATATCATTCATATCGAAAAAGTCATCCTTCTTGTTCTCTTCTAGCATCTCTATGTCAGTTTCTGAATTCTCTTTCACATCCTGTATCACAAAAACTTGTAAATTACAGAAATGAGAAACAGTCAGAATCACTTTTTCTCTAAAAATTGGCCAACGACAATTCTAAAAGCTCACTAGTGACAACAAGAAATCTTAACTAAACCATTACGATAGAAAAATTTAAGTTAAAACTAAATTACTCAATAGCTTTATATCAATTCATAAAAATGAGTAGCACGATAATGAGGTTTATAATTTAAGTTTTGATAAACAAAAGTAATTAATAAATTCACCTCCAAACATAAATTATGGTTCTTTAAATGATCTCTATGGGCTTTGGAATTTTTCGCTTCCTCAATAGAACTTTTATCTATGACGATTTGTTCACGAGAACCAATGCTATTTTGTTCAGTATGCCCGAAATCAGAGCTTTCTTCATCTTGCTCCCCACCTTCATCTGCAATGGAAAACTTTTCTATACTGATTTCTAATTCCAATAAAGATCAATCCCTAACAAGGTTGACTGAAAGATAAAAACGATGAAAGTTAGAACACAAATAACAAATATCTGTATGAAATATAAAAAATTATAATTTCGGTTAGTATTCCTGTGATAAATTATATATAAATGAAAAAAATATACAAGTATTATAATTACAATTATAATTATCAACAGAAATTACTGTTAGCCATGTGTCGTGAAAATTTTAGGAATCTTCCATTTTTTAAACTGACTTGGCAAATTTTTTTGCAATGAAATATCAGCAATATCATCTGCTAGTTCCCGTAGTTCTTCTTTTTGTTTTTTTTTCTCGCATTTTTCTATATTTTCCAGCTTTTCCTGATCATTACCATTATTACCTTTTTCACCAGAAGCAGCGCTTTCTAGAGCTTCTGATTCGGTGGTCGAATTACTGCAATTTTTTGTTTTTTTGATTGAAAAAAATAGTAATATGGATACAATAAATGAACATGTGACTTACCTTTCCGCTATATTTTCTTTTCGTAAAATATCAGGAGAAATTTTCGAAAGCTTGTCAAATCCTCCTTCTTCGTTTCCATTACCTTCTACCACAGAGATTTTATCATTCTGCATTTTTTCCAAGTCAAAATCTACTTCTTTATGACTTTCATTCTGCAATTATTTCTAAGGTATGGGAAAATAAACAAGGAATTTGAAAAAAAAATAAAATGGAACAAAAAATAATTGTTGCAAAATTTAAACACAGATATTGGCAAAGTAAAATTTTCTCAAAAACAATGCAAGAAATACTTCGAAACAGCAAAAAAAAAGTACCTGCAACTCTTCGTGCAAGCCAGAATTTTCGTTTTCATCTATCTCACTAGCAATTTGTTCTTCATCACAAGATAAAGGGTTGTTGTTGTCATCCAGTTCAGTATCGTTGTTAAACTCCATATTATCTTCAACTGTATCAACTTCACTGCAATCATTATCACTTTGTAACGACTCTTTATCCTCAACACTTTTACTTTCATCCATCACTTTACTCGCATCAGGATTTTCCATGTCGTTATCATCACTAGAATCGATCGCGGAGGCTTCATCATCAGCACTGAGGGCAGAAACTTCATTATCCCTTTCTTGCTCTTCCGATTTTTCTTCATCATTTCTACATGTACTTTCATTGGTTTTTGCTACTAAACCATGTGTCCTAGAATTTGCACCTAAAAAACACTACACTGAATATTGTTTTTAAAAAATAAGGTAACCGTATTACTTACTTTTTTTAAATTTCTAATTAGTCCTTTTATCCAGATATGCATGCACTTTTATCCGAAATTTTCCGGAGATATTTTTTAACATCTTGTCATTTATTTCACAAAATCGGACCATAATTCCTTCACATATTTGTCAATTAGCATGAACCATCTTTTTTACATTAATAGCCAAATAAAATTTATAGACTAGACTAATATTTGTTGCTTAAGCTTTTTAACGCCTCTTAAGTAGCAATAAAACTGAACCTTTGCTGCCTTCATCTAATTCTTTGTCATTGTCATTCTCATTCTCATCCTCATCCCACAAATCAGGATCCAATTTTTCCTCCTCACTTTCGTCAATATTCCCCATCTCGTTATCCACTTCCGGTGTATCCTCTTCTCCACTTCCATCTTTTTCATTATCTTTAAGTGGTATGCAGTACAAGTAAAACAGTAAATAATGGAGGCACAGCCACCAAAAATCGGAGAAAGCTACGAAGAAATATTTCATGACCTATTACCATTTTGCTCTTCACGATCAATGTCTTCCAGACAACCACCAAAGTCATCATCCATATCAAGAGGTTTGTCATCCTTTTCATTTCCTTTTTCGTTCTCACTCATGTCTTCCTCATCATTTTTTAAACCCTCAACCTGAAAAAAAACAGTAGAATAATCTGAAAACCTTGGACGCAAATCCACATATTTCACGTGCACTCAATGGAAATGGTAAGGAGAAACAGTGAATGTAAGAACCACCGATATCAGTGAGTGCATTTTTTGTGTCCAGATTTTATGCATTACCTGTCCTGTTTCATCGATATCATCACCAACATCTTTTTCACCTTTCGCATCGCCAAGTCCAGCAACATCATCGTCATATGACTGAAGTATACCTTCGTTTCCTTCACTACCTTCCTCACGCTTTTCAATGGGATTCACATAACCCTAAACATAAATCAGCTCAAGAATTGGAATTTTTCTCGGTTCACGTCATTTGAATGTAACAGTGTTTGGTACAGTTACTGGTAAACATCTCATTACATCTTTAATCCAAAAAAGAGATAAAAAACAAACTCTGTCAAGAAGTACGACACTCATTGATGTGAAACTAATATAGTACAAGGCCAAAACCACAGCACAATCTTGTAATAAATCCCAAATGAAAGCGAAAATTCTATAAACCGTGCTGCTCACGGAAATTATTTGTTCTAAGCAGTTGAACTTAACTGATATATCACCATTCGATAACTCCGCACACAAATTCCAAATTTTTTCTACCGACTGAAAAAAAAGATAAATTTTGCATATTAATATTTAGCACGAAGAGAGAATGCAAAATTAGCTTTTCTACTACAGAAGGATCTTTATGCTAATATTTACATTTACAAGTAAATATGATCCATTTTGAAAATAATGCCGTATCAAGTCCATTGGAAAGATTAAATCTCTAGTCCACGATTTTTAAAGGAAATTTAGTCAAGAAGATTTAGGAATCACTATCAAACAAAAGAATCATCTTATTTTTAAGTAAATGAATTATCTTTAATAAGAGACCTTTAAAATAACTGCGCTAACACTTGATAAATAAGATTGATACAGTTTAAGAGAAATAACTTGAAAGATGAACTGACCCTGTCAAGATTTACATTTTGCAGCAAAACGGATAACCATTTAAATGCATTTATAAAGCTGAAGCTATCAAAATCAGCTGAGGTTGTATGCTTATAGATGCTTTGCAATACTAATAAAAGAGTTTCAGTTCCATTCCAGACCACATCTTCAGTTATTTGCGAAATTACTGGTGGATCTAGAAGTGATTTTCCTATCTCCGATAAATGCGTTAATGCTTCATGAACTTCTTCTTCCATTATAAAGGAAATGGAAAATAAAGTTGCTTCCATTTCCTTAATCTCCAATCTTACTAGCTCGATGATATGCAATACTTCGGAACTATAAAAAGAAATACAAATTGAACAACCATGCAAAAGAACTAATTAACACTCAGTACATTTTGCTCACATTTCTCTTCTAAGAGGAATAAATCTCACTAAGAATCAGTTGCTTTATCTAAAGTAGAAAATCATACCGTTTGCTATTATCTTAGTTTCATAAAAAGTGAAAATCATCTAAAAGCTAGGGAAAAATTAAAACTGAAGCACGTCACATTATTAAAAACGTTTCATAATAGCAAACAGTAAAATAAAGCAGCTTACTTTTTCCAAATAACGATTTCCTCACAATTTCGTGAATAAAGCAGTGAACAATCAACAGCTTCAAGTATTTTTGCTGACGCTTCCTGTATTTTCTGAATACTTTTCAAAGTGACAATATAATTAGCATCATTTTTATATAACTTTGACAGTGCGCTATCAACCAAACCACTAAACTGGAGAATCTGAAAAATTAACTGATTTTTGTTGATATCAAAACTATAGAGACTATTTCGAGATAAAATATATTCAGGATGTAAGATTTACTACTACATCAAGATCAGTGGAAGATAGAGGAATTATAAAAAGGTATTTATCTGAATGATCTGCGAGCGACGTTATTTGTTTTACTAAAGCCCTATAGATGTAATGAGTGAGAAAACCCAACTACTTTTTCTTCATCACCAGAATAATTTTCAGGAGCGTTTTCGAGTTTTGCTAACATAAATTCCAAAACTGCATTAAATTCGGTTAGGCATCGTTTTGAGTGTTGAAGACGATGTAACCACTGCTGACTAACAAGTAAAGAATTTTTTTCGAGACTCTGTAAAGAAAAAAATTGGTGAATTGATTTTCAATCTGAAAAGTTTTCTATTAATCAAACTAGGTGCAAAGTAAAGCAATGCTGAATTTAAACTTTACAACAGCGGTTTTAAGCTTAGAATACAACAATTTTCCGTTATAGTCAACAGCACTTCCGAAAAATAATCGCAGTGGTAAAAAAGTTCAATGTTTTAAAAACCTTGCCAGAAAAATTGCATACCTTCACATTTTCACAACAATTTACCAACATATCTTTTGCTTGTTCCATTTTCCACAATACCTTCGTTGAAAAGGTCAACACTTGGCTGCACTTACACAGTTCATTTAAAATAAATTCTGTAAGTCCTTTTAAATGATTCATTGATTTGGCGTCTATTTGAGTATTAGGCTTGTGAAATTTTTTTAGGACAATATTTCGTGAAGCTCCTCCATGTCTAATCAACTAAAATTAAAATTCCACGTTTTGTCATTGAAAACTGAGTACTACAGCAATCAATTCTATTATAAACATCAAAATAAACTCCAAGAAAACAGCATGTCATATTAGGACCGAAACAGACACACCGACTAATGCAAACAATAAAAACAATCTATGTCCAAGCAATCAAAAGCTGAAATTGCTTAGACATAGTTAAATTTTCATTATCAAAACTGATATCTGTGTTAATTTGAGAAACCTTGTTTTTATGTTTTTGGCTTTCTAATGAACAAATGTTACAAGACAGCAAGATATAAACCTTTGCTAAGATTGTATTTTCAAAAATACCAGAAACAACATTTGCTGTTAATTGTTCCGTATCAACTACTAAACCTTTCCGACTACTTAAACCAAGTGCAGCACTATTTTTGAAAAACCGTGCGACTGCCTGAAACATGATTTAAAAGTTTTTAAATCTGAAAAAGAAAAAAATTGCTAACAAATTTAATAAAACTCCAGTAATGTTTAGATATATATTTACTAAATATAAATGGATGAGAGTGATGGATCAATCGTCAAAATTTGCAATCAAAACATATTTAGAAAGAGTTTTTATCTGAAAGATAAAAAACTCTTTCTATCTGAAAGATAAAAAACTCTTTCTAAATCTGTTTTGATTGCAAATTTTGATGATTGATCAATCACTCTCATCCATTTATAATAAAGTTTTAATAATAGTGAACAAATGCTACATAAAATTAAATAAAAAATATTAGCATTTGATTTCGTAAGATCTCGTCATATATTATATTTTGAGCATGAGTCTAATATATTTTTATTTGAAGCTATCCTGCAATAATTCAACATTTCAATGAGTACTGTATCACGATCTAAATATAATACCTTTTGTCGCTCGCTTAATGAACGACCTCGTTGTTTCTCTTTCTCCTTATCATCACCTTTGTAACGAACATCTTGCCGAATAAGACTATCACAACATTTTGTATATTCCATAAGCTAAATTTCCAATAGTTTGTGAAAGTAAACAATAAATAAAAATAAAAATACAACGTTTAACAAAGCAATATTAATAAAACAATACCAAGATTTAATGACCTCGAAAGATGTTAAAGTTTCAGAATGAAAACTTAACATCTTTCGAGGTCATTACTTTTACAAAACGTAAACAGCAATTTACTATATTTGCGCTGTTCTTACAAAAACTGAAAGCTCAGGATGTAGTTTATCATAAAAACCAAAAAAGAATAGTCATGTAATTTAGTGTACATAATTGAGCCCAGAAGATACATGTACTTTAGAAAATAATTCTTTTTTCTGACTGCCATTAATCTTTGATTATTACTACTATTGTAGATAAGACTCTTACTTCTAAAATATTGTCCAGATTGATTTTATTCGTCAAACAATTCGCAACTGCTTGAGTCAATTCAGCTGCACGTCTTGCATAAAAATCATCACATGGCACTTGATCAGCAGCAAAGGTTGCTACAGCTTCATAATCTGATGAAATCGGCAAAAGTTCATCAAATATGGGAGCAACTACGTCAGTCCCATACAGTCTGAATTCTTTGACTATACGGAACAACTGCTTATGAGCTTTTTGAGCTGACAGTCTCACACTCCACAAATTCAAGTCATTGTATTTCATGATTTTTATAAAATCGCTTAATTTCTTCATAACTGGCTCTTTCTTCTCAGCTAATTTTTGGTCAATTACCTGAAAAAAAGATTGAGTACACGCAAAAAATTGAGGCCAACAATTCTTTAACTTACTTACAAAAATTATTTATAGTGCTAATATACATTTCTTGACAAAAAAAGAAAAAATGAAATTAATACACTTGTGTTTGTTGCATTGAGAAAATAGAAACAGTCAACAATTAAAATTCAGAAAAAGGAATTAATTTAGAAGAAAAAATTACAAAGCTGAGCCTGAGCTCATGAATCGACAATTAAGCATGATCATAAAAAAGGCGGAAAAATTGTCAATTTCACAAACATGACTTCAAATCCCATTTATTTTTTTCATGATTTTAATGAGGCTTTTACCCATGTGGAGAATATCTCGCTTAAATCACAAATAGTAGAAATCATCACATGTGCAAAAGCAACAATTATGATAGAAACAAACAAAAACTTCAATCTGCCCTCAACATCTTAAACTGCCTTTGACCTTAAATACCAAAATTTATTCCAAAAAATTAAGCAAAAAAAAAAACTCACAGTGTTAAACTGTTCAAAATATGCTACTACTGATTCGAGACGCTGGCAGAACTTGATCTTCCCACATTTTTTTGTAAGCGTGATAAACTTGACAAGTAACTTGGCAGTCAATAAACGAGTTTTGAAATCAGTTAATGTAGAGTTTTGGATCCATTCAATAGTCATCGCTATAATATCATCGTCACTCTTATCGTTTCTATCAAGTGCTTCAAAAAGTGGCCATGACATCAATAACGTTTGCTCCTCAGAAATAATCTGCATAATGAATTTGATAATACAAAAAAGATAAAAAAATATCAATCGTTATCCTTGATTTCTAGTTTTTAGCACACGACTGTCATACAGAAGATGTTTTGTGACGAAACTGATTTATCCAAAACTTTATTTTTTTATACTGGCTTCCAAAAGTGATAAAATGAAAAAATTAACCTCTTCTCGAACAAGCAAATTATCCCAGCAGCGTATTTCCATTTTTCGCCAACTCACTAACAAACTTCGCAGATTTCCAAGTTCATTTTCCAAAGAATGCTTATGATCTGCGACTCGTTCCCACAAATCAGCATTGACTGAAAAAAAACCCCAACATTTTCAACTCTTATATAGAATAAATTTAGGATCGAAAATCTAGTGACCAGCTGAATGTCAATAATTCCTCTAAAGGGAAAAAGTAAAAATTTGAGCTTTGTAAACGATTGAAGATAGTCATAATCTGTTTTTTCATGCAGTAAAATATGCTTGTTGTCCATCATAATAAATAACTTACCAAGCAGACGCTCAACAAGTGCCGCAAACAGCATTAGAGGAGCAGTCATAGAAGTAGCTATTATCATGTCTATTCGCTAAAATTTAAAATTTTTAATACTGCTACAAATGAATGATAAATTCAAGTTAAGGTTTAAATTTAACTAGAATACTTTGTAGCTCATGCATCATTTTTCCATTACTAGTAGGTAATATCTGTAGATATTCAAAAAAAAAAAAAAAAAAAA